GAACCCCTTGCATCCAGCCGCGGTTATTTGTAATGAGTTTTCCTTCTGGGCCCAGCCCTGTAATGCACTGAGGATGTGTGCTTAGCCCCTGAGTGTGCCAGATGCACTGCCAGTCCCTGAAGCTGGTGCCTGGAGAGAGCCTCTCCGGGAGGCAGCAGCTGCTGCAGGCTTGAGCCGCCTGCATTTATTTGCTGTAGGATTGAACTGCTGTCTCATAGCAGGAAAGGCATCTCAAACCCGTTGCTGCCACTAGATCTGTCAGGCTGGAAATACTTCAGCATGTCCCAGAAACCTGCTCTGTGGCTCAGGGAGGGGCTTTTGCAGGAAACTGGCCTTCAACACTTCCAGTCCTGCCATTCCCAGCTGTATTTCTTGAGGCAGCATTTCACCTTCTTTAAAGTAGCCTCAGTAGGCAGTGGCTTGCATCGAGACCTCTAAGTTCATCCCTGTTTAGGGGCAAGGAGGGGTTAGGAGGCAGTGAGAGGAGAGTGCCCTTGATGGTATCCTTTACCTTCACTACCCTAGTCCTCAAGGAGCACAAGCAAATGAGGCCTTGATCCAATTTTTGACTGGAGGATGGGTGCCAGCAGTACACAAGCAGATCCATGTGCGGATTTTGGGTCTCCCTGGCTGGTTTATAGCCTGTGTGCCAGCTGCTTGGTCTGGCTGGTCTGTCCTGCCCTACATTGGGAGGCCGAGGCTAACCCTATGTGGGACAGGCAGATTTGCCCACTGGGAAATCATCCTAAAACCAGTCTGTTAACACTGTTTGTGATGCTAACCTGCAAGGACATTTTCAGAAGGATTAGCTGCTTTTCTAGGGGAGGATGTCAGCCTCTTTAGGTGAGCTCTTCTGATGGTGTCAGGTGGACCACCTCGCTGTAGCTGCCTCTCTGCCTGGTGTGTGACCCTAAAGCTGTTGTTGTGGTAACACAGAGCTTTGTCTTGGATCAGCTTTTGAGGCTGCAGCTCCAATTGTCTTTGGGGTGGCGGCTGCTGCTGTCTCGTTCTCTAGCCTTCAAGGTTACAGCTCCAGTCGCTCTGGTGTTGGGGAAAATGGCTTGTGGTAGGGAAATGGTACTGGATCTTCCCAGTGCACAGCAACTGCTCTCTGCAGTAAGCTTAACATGCTGATTATCTGTAATGTCTTAAAATCTCCTAGGCTAGAACTGCAAGCAATCTGGCAGATAGCTGAGGCCTCTGAGCACGAATCACTCTGAAGTCTTCAAGGCAAAACCCTGTCTCTGAAGGCTCAAAGAAAAGACCTGTTGCACAGAAGGAAGCATGCTTGTTGTCATGGACTCTGAGCCTTTCTTCTTGATAACAGCAGGAGGGACTCGTAAACTGCTCCCTCAGGATGGGCTGTTTTCAGATAGTTCTCAGGAAATGCTGTGTATGTGGTGGCAGTCACCTGAACTCCCAGAGTGAGAATTGCTAATCAGTTTTGGGGTGGCTGTTGGTAATAAGTACAACTCTGCAATCACT